TACTTCCGGCTTTTTCTGTTTATGTGGTGCTGAGGAATCGAACCCAGGGCCTCATGCTTGCAAGGCATGCACTCTACCGCTGAGCTACCTTCCCAGCCCTACAGTACTGTTTTATAATTAAATATTAAAAACATAAAATGGAATATGATAAGAGGCTGGGGGTGTGTGGCTCAAGTGGTAGAGCGGTAGACCAGCAAGCACAAGACCCTGAGTTTAAACCCCAGTAATGCCAGCAGGGGAAAAAAAAAAAAAAAAGGAAAGGAAAGGAGTGAGGCAAAGCAAGCAAGCAATGTTGGAATAAAATCAGCACTCTTCCTACTCTTACTCCATCAAGGAAAGCAGCTGCCCAGGAACTGAAGGCAGACTGACAGGCCCCAGATGGCCACTGTTGGCAACTCTGGCCACATGAAAACTAGCTCAACACTTGGCGTGGGCCCCAAAGGGACTTCTAGTGATCGAGCAGCTCTGGAACACTTGGGTGTCAGCTTTCCTGCCTGGAGTGGGTGTCCCAGGGCCTGTCATCCACTCCGATGACAGGCTGAGGAGTTAAGACAGGAGCCTTGGTGACACAGAACTAATAGTTCCTGCTGTGGAATGTCCTAAATTAAGAGTGGTGTTAATAATAGCACTTGGAAATAAACTTACAAACATGCTTAATTATGTCTATGCTAGGTGATTACTGCGCTGTTCTCTGTAATAGTCACGCAAATGCCCAGCACTAGGAGAGGGGCTAAAAGTAATGCTAAAAGCAACTACTATGGAGCAGGTTTAGCTGTGGAAAAGAATGCAGATGATCTCCAAGTTCTGAACAAATTTGGGTATAGTTGTCTCTGCTGCAATCCCAGTTTCTTGAGATTTTTTTTTGGGGGGTCCAGTCATGGGGCCTGAACTCTGGGCCTGGGCGCTGTCCCTCAGCTATTCAGCTCAAGGCTAGCACTCTACCACTTGAGCCACAGCGCCACTTCCGACTTTTTTCTTATGCAGTGCTGAGGAATTGAACCCAGGGCCTCATGCATGCAAGGCAAGCGCTCTACCACTGAGCCACCTTCCCAGCCCCAGTTTCTTGAGATTCTTATAGAGAACTGCCTAAGTCCAGTTTAGGACCAGCCTGGGCAACCTGGACACCCTGTCAGTTAATTTAAAAAAGAAATAAACCAGGGCTGGGAATGTGGCTTAGTGGTAGAGTGTTTGCCTAGCATGCATGAAGTCCTGGGTTCGATTCCTCAGTACCACATAAACAGAAAAAGCCAGAAGTGGCACTGTGGCACAAGAGGTACAGTGCTAGCCGTGAGCAAAAAAGAAGCTCAGGACAGTGCCTAGGCCCTGAATTCAAGCCCAAGACTAGCAATAAATAAATAAATAAATAACCAACCAGGAAGCTGGTGGCTCATGCCTATAATCCTAGCTGAGACCTGAGATTGCTGTTTAAAGCAGTCTCACAAGGAACATCTAAAAAGCTGGAAGTGGAACTGTGGCTTAAGTAATAGAACACTAGTCTTGAGCAAATAAAATAAAAAGCTCCGAGACAGTACGTAGGCCCTGAGTTCAAGCCCTAGGACTAATACTGAATAAAGAAGAAAGGGATATATCAAGTAGGAAAAAAAAAATCAAATTAGGTCTCAATACTAATGATCATAATACTAAGTTTGAAATAAAAATCTGTGAGAACTACATAGTTATTCTTGTCTGCTGTACCCCTTTCTTTTGCAGTAACAGAACTTTCAGCCTGGCATATAGCCGCCAAACTTAAAGACATTTCCCAACCGGGTACCGGTGGCTCACGCCTGTAATCCTAGTTACTCAGGAGGCTGAAATCTGAGGATTACTGTTTGATGCCACCCCAGGCAGGAAAGTCTGTGAGACTCTCATTTCTAATTAGCCAGCCAAGAGTCAGAGTGGAGGTATGGGTCAAGTGGTACAGCATCGCCTTTGAGTGAAAAAACTGAGGGACAGTACTTAGGCCGTGAGTTTAAGCCCCAATACTGGTGTGGCACTCGCATGCCACACACGCACACAGAGGAAAACTTATTGAGAGACAAAAATAGAATGTAGCTAAGGTGAGTTCAAGCCATGGAGCCCAGTGCAGCATTCTTAGGAATGTCCTTGTGCCCCTGGGTTGCTCTGCTTCCCAAGAAACCAACAAATGAGCCCTTTTCCAGGGACTATGGGTCTGTGTGGGGGTGGGGAGATGGGGGGGAGGAAAAAAAGGGGGGGGTGGTCCAACAGGGAAGAGGAAGGGCTGGGAAAGCTGTCAAGGGAGAAAAGTCAGGAAGGGCATGGAACCCCGAGCTGGATCTGTAGACACTCACCCCAGCACACGCTCAGCAATCTTATCCACCTTCTCTGAGATGGCGCCCAGCTGCTCTCGGCCCACAGTGGGGCGTGTCCACAGGTAGGAGTATAGTGGGGAGACCAAATCCTGCAGGCGGCACACGTGGCCCTGGGGAAGTGGCAGTCACAGCCTACACTGCCAACAGGGCTCCTCAGGCATTGGAAGGGGAAGGAATGGCTCCACCGACCAGGGCCCCAGCCCCACACCTGTCGCAGCAGAATGATCCTCTCCAAGTACGCGGGGTCCAAGACGGCACGATCGCGCAGCTGGCTCCCGAAAGTCTCCTCCACCAAGGCCTGCAGCTTCCTCACCAGCTGGCGTCTCTGGGCGTCACTGCTCACCAGTCGACGGAGGTGCAGCCTGCAGGACGTCAAGGGGCTCTCCTGGGCTGCTGACTCCATCCCCCAGGGCAGTGGGTGGGGGCTCGAAGGATGACACATCACAGAGCTAGCCTTCGTGCTACCATCAAAGTGTTCTTTACATTTATGAAATGATTTATTGAAGAATCCAGGTGTTCCATAACATGCTTCTTCTTCTTCTTCTTTTTTTTTTCAGTCATAGGGCTTGAATTCAGGGCCTGGGCACTGCCCCTGACCTCTTTTTACTCAAGACTAGTACTCTACCACTTTGAGCCACACACCACTTCCAGTTGTCTGGAAGAGCCTGTTCCTAAACCAGTGCTGAAGGAACCAAGACAACCTGACTGACCATAGATGCCTGGCTAAGTCAGGTCAACATTTGAACCGTCATGACATTAGCTTTCAAGATGAAGGTCTACCTTGAAATAACAAGCACCTGAAATACAGACTCAGTGGCCTAAAACAGTGCTCATTGTGGCTGGGTAAGCATGAGGAAGGATGCTAAATGAAGATGCTTTTAGGCTGTGGGTATTAACCAGGTTCATGCAAACAGTGAGTATCCAGGAATATAAACCATAATGATAAATCAGTGCCTGCTGTTTATGGAACATTGTCCATGTGCCAGGACTGTGCAAGACACCTGTATGCAACATTTAATTATGACAACCGCCCTGCAGCCATGGCTGCTGCCGCCCCTGCTGCTACTGCTGCCTCCAGGCACCCTGCCTACACCCTGTCTGACAACGCCAATCAGGGTTTCTAGGAGGATCCATCCTCAGGGGCACCTACTGCACTGTGCACTTCTAGGTGATTACTGGTGGTCTCAGGACCTTGATTGTCCACTACAAAGAGCCTGAGGGTAAAATGTTACACACAGAGCTGAAGAGACAGTATGACAACTTGACCTTCAGGGCCTCCGAAAATGGAAGCTTGACCTTCAAGGCCTATGCAAATTTTGCATCAGCAAATGAATTTTCTACTTTTACCCATAAAACTGGAATCTTTGACTATCAAGATGGACAAGACCCACCTTTTTTTCCCAGTGAGAACTGAGGCAGTGCTCAGAGGGGAGCAGCGTGCCTCTCTGTTCATGAAGCTCTCATTCCCTCATCCACTCTGAGACTTCTTTTCCACTGACAGGCTCTAGGCCAAGGCCAGACAGAAGATCTAAATACAAGACTGTCCTACTAGTCCACAGGAGAATCCAGATGTTACCTGTTTTTGAATACCATGTGGGCTTTGGTCTGGGTTTCCAGACATGTTAACAGCTTCTACTTACATGTCTAAATAGACTGGAAAATAGCTATCTGCTCATCAATGCTAAGCAACGTTCTTTCTTCTTCTTACTACATCATTTGGGACCTCTTCTATTTTCTGTAATACTTTTATAACCTGTTGCACACGTTTGAACTTGACAAGTATTTGTGTTCAGACATGACTTTAAATATACATTTGAATACTACAGTTGCATGTTTTTTTTCCCCAGTCCCGGAGCTTGAACTCATGGCCTGGGCACTGATCCCGAGCTTCTTTTGCTCAAGACTAGCACTCTACCACTTGTGCCATAGCGCCACTTCGGGCTTTTTCTGTTTATGTGGTACTGAGGACTCAAACCCAGGGCTTCATGTATACTAGACAAGCACTCTATACCACTAAGCCACATTCCCAGCCCCAGTTGTATGTATTTGTGGCAAAAGATAATTATTACAACCACTAAAAAAGATGTGAGCTTGTGGTTCATGTCTGTAATCCTAGCTACTCAGGAAGCTGAGATCTGAGGATCACAATTTGAAGACAGCTGAGGCAAGAAAGTCTGAAACTTTTCTCCAATTAACCAGTGGGAAAAAAAAAAGCTGGAAGTGAAGCTGTGGTTCAAGTGGTAGAGTGCTAGACTTGGTTTAAGCTAAGGGACAGCTCAAGCCCCAGTATAGCACTAAAAAGTAAATTAAAATAAAAATGGTAGTAAAATAACTCTTCTCTGTTTTCGAGAAGAGAAAATAAAGTTGAAAAATTTAGGTGACATGGAACAGTAGATAGCACACCCAAAGTCAGAATCAAGTGTGGGTGACTCCAGAGTCCACTATACTTTCACTGTGAGAACTGGGCAGGAAAGACTTTTTCTACTGGAGGGACACCATTTCCACTTACCTGTTGAATTCTGGGAGTTTCTCAAGGTCCAGCAGGGCTGAGTGGCAGGTAATTCGGCTCAGGTCAAACTGAGTTATCAGCTCTGGCAGCGTCCTGCCCATCTGGTTCTCTGCAAGTGAACCAACCAGCCACTTAGCTTCTTCCTTCTCCTCCTCACCCTCCCTCCCTCCCTCTCTCCCTTCCTTCCTTCTTTCCTCTGTCGCCCAGTCTAGCTAGACACTGCTTAGCTACTTCTTATAAGCAGTCTAGCTAGACACTGCTTAGCTACTTCTTATAAGCAGCTGCTCTCGTCTGTGGAGCTGGAAGCCATTATGTATAGGCACAGACCTGAAATGCCATGTCCTCATTAGCTGTGTGACTCTGGCAAGTTATTCCACCTCTCTGAGCCTCCCTATCATCTTACAAAGTGGGGGAATAACTAGTAACTACCCCTCAAGAATTTTTTCTTTCTTTCTTTTTTTTTGTTGGTTGTGAGGCCTGAACTCTGGGCCTGGATGCTGTCCCTCAGCTCTTCAGCTCCAGGCTATTGCTCTACCACTTGAGCCACAGCACCACTTCTGGCTTTTTCTGCTTTTGTGGTACTGAGGAATCAAACCCAGGGCCTCATGCATGCAAGGCAAGCATGCTACCACTGAGCCACCTTCCCAGCCCAAGAATTTTTTCTGTTTGTTGTACTGAGGATTGAACTCGGACCCTCATGTTTTACCACTTGAGCCACTTCTCCAGTCCAGCATTTTGTTAATTACTCAGAGATGAGAATCTTGCAGACTTTTCTGCCTGGGGTTGGTGTTGAGCCACAATCCTCCAGGCCTCAGACTCCTGAGTAGCTGGCATTAAAGGCCTGAGCCACCAGCATCTGGATCCTTTAAGGCTATTTGAAGCTACATGAAATACGAGCAGAACAGTAAGCAGATGATTACTGATACAATTTCAGAACTCCCTGTCCTGGGCTGGGAATGGTAGCTCAAGCAGCAGAGCATCTGTCTAGAAAGTGCAAAGCCCTGAGTTCAAACCCCAGCAGACGCACCCCCCTCCCCCCCCAAAAAAAATCCTTGCCACATGAGGTCATCACATTTGGTGCTTGATTCATCAGGGTTTGGGCTGAGTGCTGGGCCACATTTAAGGGCTGAGCCTAGAACGACAGATTCATGGAGCAATCTGCAGTACTTAGGAAGTACATCTGTGTAGTGGTAGTCATCATGAGGTTTTTAGTGGGGGTTACTGAGTGGCAGACAGTAAGGGGTGCCTCACATCCACTGAGCTCAGTGAGTCCCCACTAACTACTGTGAAGGAGACTCTTATCCTCACAATCACAATTCAGATAAAGCAAGGAGCTTTAAGCATCCTGAAGGCAAGAACTAGACTCAGTGTGCTCAATTTCCAGCCCCAGCCCCCACACACTAAGTACTGTATAAAATAATGGATTGAGCTAGGTGCTGGTTGCTCATGTCTGTATTCCTACTCAGGAGGCTGAGATCTGAGGATCATGGTTAGAAGCCAGCCTGAGCAGGAAAGGCTGTGAGACTCTCATCTCCAATTAACCACCAGAAAACTGGAAGTGGTGCTATGGGTCAAAGTGGCAGAGCACTAGCCTTGAGCAAAAGAGCTCAGGGACAGTGCCCAGGCCCTGAGTTCAAGCTCTATGACCACCACCACCAACAACATAAAGAACTGGTCTAAGATCATGAGGCTGGCAGGGAGCAAAGCCCTTGCTCTGTACCATTCAACTGTGTCAACGTGAACGCACAGGTACCTGCAAACCCCGAACCACAGTTGGTGATGATGTCAAGAAGAGCATCTGGCAGAAAGCCAGCTGCCATGAAATGCTCCAGGAAAATGTCCCCTTGCCTCTTGGAGAGCTTGTGGCCATCTTTGTTGAGGACCAGGGGTAGGTGGGCAAAGCGAGGTGGCTGCCAGCCCAGGGCCTGGTACAGGAGCAGGTGCTTGGAGGTAGATACAAGCCACTCAGATCCCCGCAGCACGTGGCTGATGCCCATGTGGTGGTCATCCACCACACAGGCCAGATGGTATGTGGGGAAGCCATCACTCTTCATGATGACTGGGTCCCCTTCCACGCTGGCCACTTCATGCTGATTCCAGCCATACACCAGGTCCTGGAAGCCTGGTGCCTCCTCCTCCAGGCGAAAGCGGATGGCGGGCTTGGGGTCCGTGGCCAGTTTCTGCGCTACCTGTGCCTGGCTCAGGTTTCGGCACCGATTATCATACCTGTTGGGAAGCAGATCAGCATACCTGATAAGAGACCCGGGGTTGTACATGAGTTCCCTCCCTGGCCTCTGACTGTGGTGTGACTCTGGAACAGGCATTTATCTCATTATGCTCTGTCCAAAATGAGAGCAATGGTAAGGTGGGATTGTGCAAGGGAGCAGACTCTGATGTCTACTGTCTACCAGCTATTCCCCGTTTCCTTTGCTGCCAAGAAGTGGCAAGTGCTGAGACCAAGGTGAAGTCACAATCGCTACAGCCAAGCCTGCAATCCCAGGACCCAGTGCCAGGGAGCAGTCCAAGGGGGAAGGGGACCCTATTCTATTCCTAAGAGGCAGAAAACTCCATGTGGTGAGTAGGGGAGGGCTAAGGTCTAAGAGGTTTTCCTCTCCAAATGAAGCTAAGAAATAGTCACAAGAAGAAACTTTGAGTTTCTTTTGCTCAAGGCTAGCACTCTACCTTGAGCTACAGCACAACTTCAGGCTTTTTCTGTGTATGTGGTACTGAGGAATCAAACCCAGGGCTGCTTCATGCATGCTAGGCAAGCAGTCTACCACTAAGTCACCTTTCCAGCCCCTGTTCTGCTTATTTCTAAGATAGGATCCTTATTTTTTGCCAGGATAGGCCTGACCCACCATCTTGTTTATGCTTCCCACCATAGGTGGAATGACAGGCACGCACCACCACACCCACCCAGCCTTTTCTGTTGAGATGAGGACCTGTGAACTTTTGGCCCAAGCTGGCCTTGAACTGTGATCCTTCCATCTCAGCCTCCTGAATTATAAATGTGTGCCATGGTGCCCAGCTAGATCCTTTCTTAAATCCTCATATCCCTGCTTTCAGCCCTCCTTGGATGTTTTCCTATGAGGTGCTGTGTTTGGAGAAGGCAATGCAGTGGAAAGAAGCCACAATGGAGCCCTAGTATCTTGAGCAACCTGTCACCCACCCCAGAGTTCTGCAGGAGAGGGAGGCTGCCTGTGTGGTTTCCGTCCTGCTACTCAATGGGGTATATGGACACCTGGCACCAGTCCAACTTGGGAGGCTGTCGGAAATGTACATCTCAGGTGAACAGGAAGCTATGTGTTACCAGATCCCCAGGAGGCTCAAATTGGCCAGAGTTCTAGGCATTCCACTGTGTCAGTCTGAACAAAGTGCCCCCTTACTTGTATTCAATTGTCCTAGGTAACGCACAAATGTAAATGTACTCTCAGTCTTTGACACAGTGAAATGTTCAATCAACAGATATAGATGGCTGCACAGATCCCATGATGTGATCATTTAATTCTATCAATGGATTTGTAGACTGCTTACGATATTAAAGAAAAAAAAAAAAGCATTGTCAGGTGTGGTAATGCATACTTGTAATCCCAGCACTCAGGAGACTGAGGCAGGAGGATCACAAGTTGGGGGCCAGCCGGGGCTACAAAGCATGATCTTATCTCAGAAAAGCAACACTACAGTTGATGTTGTAATGCATGTACAAACATTTGAGCCCTTGTCCAATAGTTCACTGAAGGTGGAACTTTCATGCTATGTTCCTGCTGACCAGTGCATGAACCACTATACACTGACCCTGTCATTCTACAACTACCACACAGGTAAAATGTCACCGTAACAAATGAGAAAGGACAAAAAGATCCATTAATAAGGAACCCACTAAGTTATAGATGGTATATGCATACCATGGAATATTAAGTGAGTATAAGAAAGAATCATGATTAACTAAGCATCACTATCCCACAATACTGTGAAATTTGGGGAAATTATGTAACCACTTAATCACAATAAAAAAAATTGGGGGAAAAAAAAAAAAGAATTGTGAGCCACGCACTGGTGGCTCACACCTGTGATTCTAACTACTCAGATGGATATGAGGATCAAGGTTCAAAATCAGCCCAAGCAGAAAAAGTCTGAGACTCTCATCTCCAATTAACTCCCAGAAAACTGGAAGTGGAACTGTGTGTGGCTCAAGTGGTAGAATGCTAACCTTAAGCAAAACAGCCCAGGGACAATGCCCAGGCCCTGAGTTCAAGCCCCAACACCAACAAAAAGGAAGAAAAAAGAAAAAGAATTGTGGACTGGAGCTGGGTGCTGTTGGCTCACACCAGTAATCCTAACTACTCAGGAGGCTGAGATTTGAGGACTGCAGTTCAAAGCCAGCCCAGGCAGGAAAGGTCCATGAGACTCTTATCTCCAATGAACCACCAGAAAACCGGAAGTGGCTCTGTGGCTCAAGTAGTAGAGCACTTGCCTTGAGCTGAAGAGCTGAGGGGCAGAGCCCAGTCCCAGAGTTCAAGCCCCACGACCAACCTCCCTCTTACCCCCCAAAAAAAGAATTGTGGACTGGTATGAAGCCAACCTTCAAGATAGTATGGGAATGACACACAACACATTATGTGTAACCAATTAGGGCAAAGGAGATAACAGGAACACTGGTCAGTGTATATAGAGAATTAAGTTCAACAGCAGATGTTGGATAAAGGGAAGTGAGGGCCAGAGGTAGGCTTAGAACAACTCATCCTGAATTTTTCTGGACATTTTAAACACATAAAAGTTTTACCTTTTAAAATAATGTGGTTTTTTTTTTTTTTTACAAATAAAGCAAATTTTTCTAACTTAAATTCCCAAGTGTAAAAAGCACGTGTATTTTTTTTTCTTTTTTTCTAGTTATGGGCTTGAACTCAGGGCATGGGAACTGTTCCTGAGCCTTAAGGCTAGTGCTCTACCACTTGAGCCATAGCACCATTTCTTGTTTTTGAGTGGTTAATTGGAGCAGAGTCTCAAAGGGACTTTTCTGCCTGGGCTGGCTTTGAACTGTGATACTCAGTTCTCCTGAGTAGCTAGGATTACAGGCATGAGCCACCAACACCTGGCTCAAGTGTGTTTCTTTAGGTTTATTTGATAGAAATTTCTGTACATTGTATTTTGTACTACAGAGTATCATATCACTGTACATTAAAACGCAGGACTTCATAGATTTTGTTACTTCAAGTATAAAAAATGTCCAGAGTAAAAATAATGATAAATGTGATTAAAATGACAGCCTGAGACAGCTCCTCACGTGAACCGATGCTCTCCCTTGAGTATGGCTGGACCTACTGCCTTCCTTCTACCCATGACCAGATGTCACTTCCACTTCTATCTTGTGGACCCGCTTGCTCTCTCCCTTGTCTTCTCTGAGCAAGAGCTGCCATGTGTGAGTTGCCCTCTGGAGAGGCCTATGTGGCAAGGAACCAATGGCATCCAGTCATAGCTAGCTGGTACCAAAGGCCTGCCAATAGCCTAGAAGGAAGGTGGAGGAAGATCCTCCCCAAAACTACAGGCCATGGGCTGTTACCAGTAACTACTTGAAAGGCTTAGATCTGAGGATCATGGTTCAAGGCCAGCTGAGGCAGGAAAGTCCATGAGACTCCCATCTCCACCAAAAGAAGTGGAGCTATGGCTCAAGTGGTACAGCATTAGCCTTGAGCAAAAAAGCTCAGGGACAGCACTCAGGCCCTGAGTTCAAGCCCCTGCAGGCCTGGCTGAGACCCAAATGGCAAAAGTACACTGAGCCAAAGAACCCAGCTAAGCCCTGCCTAGACCCCCCCTCATAGAAACTGACAGGGAGCTTATGTGTGGGTACGCAGCACTGATGGCACACAGAGCACTGGCCAGGGCACTCACCGGGGTGTCTGGTAGCTCCTCAGGGCCTCCTTTTTCAGGAGCTCCAGCCGTTGTGGGGAGCAGAAACAGGGGTAGGCAGCTCCGGAGCGCAGGAGTGCCTCTGTGGCCTGGGCATACAGGGCCAGCCGCTGGGACTGCTGGTAGGGGCCGGCGGGACCGCCCCGGCGGGGGCTCTCATCAGGGGGGATGCCTGAGGAGCAGAGGGAGAAACACACAGCACTCAGTCCCATTCATTTCTCAAGACACTTGGCACACATTAAACTTTTTTGGGGGGGGAGGGGGACAGTACTAAGGATTCAACTCCAGGCCTTGTTCCCCTCTACCATTTGATCATGCTCCAGGTGCTTCTGTTTTTAGTTGATTTTTTTTAGGCACTGTCTGGTATCTTTGTCTGGGCTGGTTGAAAATGGCTATTTTCCTATCTCAGTCTTCCCTCATTATCAGGGATTACAACTATATACCACCACACTCAGCTCATACCTAACCTTTCCAGCCTCCCAATAATCCCAATAATCAATATTATTAGGTTTTCACTTTGGAGATTATAAGACAAAGCACAGAGGGGCTGAGGCCTCTGGGTCACCCCCTGGTACCTGAGAAGTCAAATGGCAGTGGGGGTGCCCCAACACCAACTTCCTCTCTGTCTACCCACTGTTTCCTCGGTTAGGGAGAAACCAGTCCAGGCCTGCAGCAGTGGATGGAGAGAGGGTATAAGGATGGAGATCGAGCCTGCAGGCTTGGCTGCTCTTCTGCCATTTATTTATTTATTTTTATTTTTTGTCAGTTGTGGGGCCTGAACTCTGGCCAGGGCGCTGTCCCTTGGCTCTTCAGCTCAAGGCTACCACTCTACCACTAGAGTCATAGCTCCACTTCCAGTTTTTTCTGCTTATGTGGTGCTGACGAATCGAACCCAGGGCCTCATGCATGCAAGGCAAGCACTGTACCACTGAGCCACCTTCCCAACCCCGTCTGCCCTTTCTGCCTGTGACAGAGCTTGTACAGGATAATGATACTGGGTCCAGGATGCTGGCCACCCTGAAGACTGATTTTAAGGGGGATGAGCCCCAGGACCAGCACGCACGCGCACGGACACACACACACACGGACACACACACACGGACACACATACACGGACACACACACGGACACACACACACACACTCATAAACTGCTGGTGGAAATGTAAACTACTGCAACCACTATGGAAATCTGTATGAAGTCACTTTTAAAAATTAAAAATGCATCTACCTTAGCCAGGCCCCAGTGGCTCATGCCTATAATCTGTACACAGGAGGATGAGATCTAAGAATTGCAGTTTGAAGCTAGCCAGGGCAGGAAAATCTGTGAGATTCTTACCTCCAATTCACCACCAAAAATTCAGATGTGGAGGTGTGGCTCAAGTGATAGAACACAGCCTTGAGTGAAAAGCTACAGGGTAGTGCCCAGGACCTGAATTCATGCCCCAATACTAGAAAGCACGCACATGCACGCACGCACATGCACACACACACAATGACATAATGTTAGGCTAACCAGTGTGGGGCTTGCCCACCTGCAATCCCAACACTCAGGATATTTAACCAAGTAGATCTTCCTTTTGAGACCAGATGGGCTAGAGAGCAAGAACTTTCCCAAAAAAGCAAAAACAAACAAAAAACAAGAACAAGTCTGCTTATATCCTCTCTCTGTCATGCCCTGGGTCTTTGCATAGACACTAGTCTCAAGCACCTGACACAGATTTGTGGACCATAGTAAGTGATCTTGGTTCCTTTATTGAATTAATCTCAACTGAATATGGGCTGAAACCTAGGAGAGAAGCTAGAAGGAGAATGGGTTTCAGAACTCCAGGGCCTCAGAATCCAGTGAGTAATTTACCTGGAGGAGAATACATATCCCTAGTCTTGGTATTTTCATAGGGCTGTTTCCTTTCAGTGGTCATGGCACCTAGCAGGGCCCGTCCTAGGCAGGCCTGCAGAAGTTTGTGTGGACACACAAGGAGACACACTCCTCTTTGTTCTCCTTCAGCCTAACTGTCTTCAGGACTTACTTCTAACCTGAAGATCCACTTCAGAGACTATACACACTTTGTTTTGCTCACCCGGTATGGTTAAAAAAAAAAAATCAGAACCTAGATTGAACAATAGGAAGTATTCATAAAAACATCTGGATTTCTGGCTCTTCTTAGAATCTGGACACTGGACAAGTTGAGCCTGCATTCCTATGGGAGCGGTAGCTGGGGCTCACAGGTACTTTGTCCTTTGGATGAGGTCATGTCCTCCAACTCCCATGTAGGCTGTTTCCTGCCTGATCCCCATAGGGAATGGACCTAACAATTCTGCAATTAGAACAGGGACACCAAGCCAGGTACCAGTAGCCCATGCTTATTATCCTACCAACTCAGGAGGCAGAGATCTAAGAAATGCAGTTAAAAGCCAGCGTGAGCAGGAAAATGTAACTCTTTTATCCCTAATTAACCAGCATAAGCAGGAAGTGGAGCTATGCCTCCAATAATAAAGCCCTAGCCCTGAGCAAAAATGTTAATGGAAGTACCCAGGCCCTGAGTTCAAGCTTTAGTAACAGGAATCCTAATTCAGCCTTGGACCTCAGCATTTTCTGGCACCCCATGAACTCTTTGCCATCCTCCACCCTGGACCCCACAAGCTCAACAGCCTTACCTGCCCACTCCAGCATGTCTTCTATGTTCTCTGCCGCCCCAGGCACCAGACGGGTCTGATCTGTGTCCTCCAGCCTCAGAATGAAGCTGCCCTGGTACTTCTTGGCAAAGATGTAATTGTAGAGAGCAGTGCGGAGACCACCCAGGTGCAAGAACCCTGGTGGAAGAGAATGGCTCAGACCTAACAGAAAAAGGCCTCAGCAAGGGACAAACAGCTTTGCCCAGGACAGGATGTCCTAAGCAATTTCAAACAGCTGGCCACTGGATGGACAGCGTTTGGAGCCTCATCCTCGAACGAGACAATCACCAGGTTTCCAAGCTGTGTGAAATGTAAGCACCCGTGGATCATGATTGTAATCCTATGTACTCAAGAGGCTGAGATCTGAGGATCTCAGTTTAAAAGACAGCCCAGCCGGGCGCTGGTGGCTCACGCCTATAATCCTAGCTACTCAGGAGGCTGAGATCTGAGGATCGAGGTTCAAAGCCAGCC